CCTCGCCCTCTCCCTCCTCCCCCCCCCCTCCTCGCCCTCGCGCGAGCGCGCCTCCTCTCCTCCTGGGACAGGGCAGGGGCCCCCCTTTTGGCTCCCCGGCTCTGGCCGATTGGGCCGCCCCCCCCGGTGCGCGCGCGACCGCGGACAGACCGCGACGGCCGCCGGCAGCAAGAGGGACAGGAGGAGGAGGAGGAGGGAGGAGGAGGAGGAGGAGGAGGAGGAGGAGGAGGAGGAGGAGGACGAGGACGAGGACAAGGACGAGGACGAGGAGGAGGAGGAGGAGGAGGACAAGAGCGCCACAAAGATATCCAACCTCACCTCAAGGTGCTCCAACCTCCAGGCGCCCGCAGATGCCAACAGGATGTCTCACACGATGTGGCAAGACGAGCGAGACGAGTACGATATCTACCACGTCCACTCCTCCACGGACCCGACGTACTGTTAATGCTGGTTGATCAAGATGTGGGCCAGCACGGTGATGGAGGACTTGACAAGGGGTGTACAATTACTTGCGCAACAACGAGCAACCTGCAGAGTCACCAAACATGCGGGACGTATTACGAGCAGCTCGAAGTGAATTCGACAGGTTCAGAACGACCGTCAAGACCGTCATCACAAGGTATCTACGACGACAGGCAGACCAAGCTCGCTAAAAACAATGGTACCACGCCGTTGGGCCTTACCAAAACACAGCAGGCGTGCCATTAGTTCCCAGTATGCCACCACCTCCACCCAAACCCAGTCTCATCTGCTACTAATGTGGAGCAGCACTCGTCAAACATAATTTGTACTACTCCCACGTTGGGAAATACCATGGAAGCGGGATGCGCCCGACGAGATGGGCACGGGGCTCGATATGTACGACACGCCGCTACCAGTACCACAACTACGCGGGGCTCGTCAAGCACCTCCGCCTCCTACGCCTCCTCCTCCTTCTCTTCCTCCTCCTCTTCCTCCTCCTCTTCCTCCTCCTGATCATCATCATCATCATCATCATCATCATCATCATCATCATCATCATCATCATCATCATCAGCATCAGCATCAGCATCAGCATCAGCATAATCATCATCATCATCATCATCATCATCATCATCATCATCATCATCATCATCATCATCATCATCATCATTGTTCTTAGTCTCCTTCGTCACCCCTTCATGTGCAACACCATGGACGACAGCAGTGTAGCGATTCAACGATGAGGATACCGATGAGAGCCGCGAGAGCATACGAGTGACCCAGCGAAGCAGCACGAGGGCAGGAAGACCACCTGACTACGCTTAAGTCGGGCCTGTCCCTCTACAGGGGGGAAATTCAGAAATAGTCAGAAAATAGTATGGGGACTATTTTTTGAGTATTTTGGGGGTATCTTTTGAGTAGTGTTTGATTAGGTTTTAAGGTTTCGTCCAAAATCCCCCTGTAGGGGGACAGGCCCGACCTAAGACTACGCCCACATCCCAAGCGACAAGACCGACGTCATCCCGACTCACTCCAACGACAAGCACGCAGCACACGACAAGATACCGCCGGTAGGGCTACCAGCAGTCGTCCCAAACGCCCTCAACCCAACAATACCGCGACCTTCATAGGAGGACCTGTGCGATTCGTCCTCCACCTGTACAACGGACATCGACGAGAAGGAGATATGCAGGAAGGGATGGAGTACTCCCACCCGCCTCCCAGCACACAGACATGCACCTTATCCATCGGCCTTGCCAAACCCCGCCACGGCATGGCATTCGGCTGACCGGGTCACGGTCGACTTTTTGGGTCAAGCCGATGATCTAGGCCTCCTAGATGGGGTCGGAGTAGATGGGGTCGGAGGATCGCGCCGCATCGGCGATACATCGCCGATGCGGCTCGATGCGGAGCCCGATGTTCTCCACGCCGGCGTCGCCGATGCGTCGCCGACGTCGGCGATGCATCGTCGGTGCATCGCCGATGCGTCGCCGATGCATCGCCGATGCGTCGCCGATGCATCGCCGATGCGGCGCGATCCTCCGACCCCATCTGCTCCGACCCCATCTAGAGGGCCTCTAGAGGTGCTCCGACCCCATCTGCTCCGACCCCATCTGATCCGACCCCATCTGCTCCGACCCCATCTGCTCCGCGACCCCATCTGCTCCGCGACCCCATCTGGGAGGGCCTCTACACCTTAGGCGATGCTTAAGAAAACTTAAGTTTTCGGCCAGAGCCTCGATGATTCTTAATGTTTCGATGTAAATCCTAAGATTTTAATAGAACCCCATCCAGGAGGCCTCTCGAGGTGCTTCGCGTGCTGCACTCGCAGCCGAGCTCCTCGCGCCGCGAGAGCACGACCTCCCTTGCGGCTCCCTCGCACTCCATGGGGCCCCCTCGCCGCGGGCCCTCTGGGGCCTCCGACCCCACCCTTAGGAGGCCTCTACACCTTGGGCGATGCTTAAGAAAACCTAAGTTTTCGGCCAGAGCCTCGATGATTCTTAATGTTTCGATGTAAATCCTAAGATTTTGATAGAAACGTTGGGTGTAAATTCGAGTTCTGAGGCTATGAATTTCTTAACCCATGATTTCTTAAGCATTTCGCAGGGTGTAGATGCGCGAAGGGAGAGCGGCTGCAGCCACGTCTGGGCCGCCGCGG